GGGGGGGGGTGCGCAAGCGCTGCACCGGCCGGCGGTGGTGACAAGTCAGGAAGTCGTTTGGGGACCCCCGCGCAGCCATCGGGGGTCCCCAAATCCCTGCTGGCTTTTTCCCCTGGGGCGACTTGGGGCCAGGGGTTGACTGCCTCAGTAGTCAGAGTCTTGGTGTTCGGGGCTCCCCTGTCTGGGTTTTCTCAGTGCGACAGATTTAGACTGGGGGGATTCCTGTGGCCCTGCCCCACCCACCAAGACCGAGAAGACTCACTGGGTGGGGAAAGGTAGGTTAGATGACTCACCCCTGGGGAGACCTGACCGCCCCAACCTTTGGGAGCAGATGGCCTGGACTCTGTCTCCATCTCTGCCTTAAATAGCTGTATGTCCCTTTCATCATAGTGGACCCTGGTTGTAGGTGCATGGATGTATTGATACATTACTTCTGGAAAGCCCTGGGCCTTCCTAAGGAACTTAGTTAGTAATAGTGTCTGCATTGTGGTTCTGTCTCCAGTGGATCACTTTCTAACCTGCAGCAAAGTTGTTTTTGGTAGTCTATACTTCTTACTAAAATTCTTAAGTTCCCCGTTGGGAACAGAATCCTTGAGCTAAGGCTTTCGCAGTTTCCTTTTTGTATTCTCAGCGATGGCTTGCATATGACAGGTACTTACTAAATACTTGCTGAATGCGCATGCGCATCAGTCTAACATGACCTGGTTTATCCCTGCTGACCTGCTTCTGCTGGGCCTTCCCTCGCCTACTCTGTGCTCCTTGAGCCTGTCAGTCTTCATTCTGCAGGTGGGCCTTTGCTGGACTGCGCCTTCAGTCAACTCAGTCTCTGGCTCTTTGCATAACTCCCTCTTATCTTTGTCATCTCAGCCTAAATGTCATCTCCCCAAAGAGATTTTTCTGGCTGCTCTACTTAAAGTGGACCTCCCAGTCCCTATCATATATGAATCTACGTTTAAAGGTTATCATCTTTCCTCTGTATTATTTACTTCATAGCATTTAACCTGGTCAGAAATTACCATATTCATTTGCTTACTTTTTTTCAATTAATTCATCTTTTAGGTTTTTGCCATAGGGAATATACGCTCACCAGAGAGGAGAGAGACAGAGAGGGGAAAGTAAGAAATGATCCCCCAAAGGAATGGCCTCACTGCAGTTCCGTCTCCTCCATTCTCCTCTTGGGATCTTGGGCACACATGCACATACTCCCAGTGTGACCCTCAAGCCACTAGGTTCGGGATTTGAATCATGGTTGGCCATGTAGGAATCTAGCGCCTTAACCACCATGCCTCCCACTGGCCCCTGTTTGCTTACTTTTGATCTGTCTCACTAGACAACAACCTCCAGAGGGAAAAAAAAAAAGGAACTTGTCTTGTTCACTGCTGTAGCCACATAGCCTGGGACAACATCCAGCCCCAACACAGGGTTTTCGTATTTGTCAAAAATTTAGTGAATTCTTGTGGGCAGAGAAAACAGCAGTAAGACTGTAGACTCCACCTGTTGTCATTTCTGTTCTTATACATAATGTCTTCTGGGAAAGAGGAGGTACCAGACCCCATATATAGGAAGCCCCACTCAGTGTGCACTTGGATTATTTCCTATAGGTAGGTCAGAACTCAGGCCAGGAAATGTCCTTCCTGCCCCTTGCTTCAGGATATTCCACCCTATCATTTTTACTTTCTCTTTTCCCTCCTGGCTCCCAGTCAGGGTATCCTCCAGGGGGGTACCCCTTTTTTGTGTTCTATGTGTAGTAGTATACCATTATGTTTACTGCTATGCTAATTAGAGACAGCACTGTATGGTTAGTGGACTCCCTGGGGGAATCCCAAGACTAGCCTCTGTTCCTAACTCTCAGGGTGATCTTAGGCAAGATGGTCAACTTTTTTTTTTTTTTTGAGTTTTTTGCTATAGGGCTCATGCACTTGCCAGAAAGACAGAGAGACAGAAAGATAGAAAGCGAGAAATTGCCCCCCCTCCCCCCGGGGGGATGACTACGCCACAATCCCTTCTCCTCCATTCTCCTCTTGGGATCTTGGGCATGCACGTACATGCACCTGGTGTGAGTTTAACCCTCCGGGTCTGGGATTCTAACTGCAATTGACTACTTGGGAGTCCAGTGACATAGCCATTATGCCAACTGCTGGTCCCAAGATAGTCAACTTTATTTATTTATTTTTTTTGATGGTCAACTTTTTTAAGCTAACTTTTTCCTTTTTAAAATGAGACCTGTGAATTTTGAAGGTCCTATCTAGCATTCAACGAACTGCTTTTATTTCCCTCCACCTTCTTTGTGACTATAGTTTCCAATAGTCAGATGAACTTTTAAGAGTACAATCAGTTCTTAAGTTCGTGTGCACACATACATGACAAATCCATACCCAATTTTTCTTCTATCATTTATTTGGAGCATTTCTTCTCTATGCCTACTGTTCTTATAAACTTATTTCTCCAGCTCAGATCATCTGCTTAATTATTCTTTGTAAGCTCTCAACTTGTCATGGCTATTTCGTAATAGTCAAAATAAACATTCTGGCTTACATTCAGTGCAACCCAAAAGGCTTATATACCCAGATCTCATTTCAAATTCTTAAATGTTTCTTTCTGGTTAAATGTGAAAAAAGGAGACTATTAACATCCAAAGTTGGAATAGCAAGACTTAAAAATTGTATTATTTAGGGTCAGCAGGTGGTGTAGTGGTTAAGGCTCTGGATCTTACATGGCCAATGCCACAGTTTGAGTCTAAGACCAGCAGTGGCTTGAAACAGCTGCCAGGGGGACCAGCAGTTAGCGTAATGGCTATGTTGCTGGACTCCCATGTAGTTGACCACAGTTCAAGTCCTGGACCCGGTGGCTTAAAACTCATGCTGGGCGCATGTGCGTGCGTGCCCAAGATCCCAAGAGGAGAATGAAGGAGAAAGGACTGTGGCTTGGCCATCCCCCCTGGGGGGTGACTTCTCGCTTTCTGTCTCTATGTCTCTCTCTGTCTGGCGAGCGCACGCGCCCTATAGCAAAAACCTCTCAAACAAAAACAAAAACAAAAAACAGCTGCCAGGCACATGAGCCTGTGTGCCCAAATCCCAAGAGGAGAATGAAGGAGAAAGGACTGTGGCTTGGCCATCCCTCCTGGGGGTAGCTTTCTCACTTTCCCTCTCACCATCTCTCTTTCTGGGTTTTTCTCTAGCAAGCTCATGCAATGGCAAAAATCTAAAAATAAAACAAAATGATTCTTTTATTTTTCTTTAGGGGGGAGGACTCTCCACAAGAGACCCTATCTCCTTGTACTCCCACCATAACCCTAGGACTTAATCCCACCTCTCTCTATCATAACACAATAATTATCAAGTTTTCATGTCTGGCAATTCTATCCCTTTTACTCTCTGTAGCTCCTAATTGTGAAAAAGGAAAGAAGGAAACTCCTAAACACAGCTGGCATGTTTCACATCCAAAGAAGAATCTGTTTGTTAAATTGTGTTTTGTTTTACTCAAAAGAATTTTAAGGTATCACAAGGCTAGTGAATTTCTTTCTTTCTTTCTTTCTTTTTTTTTTTTGAGAGTTTTTGTTTGTTTGTTTGTTTGTTTTTGTCATAGGGCGCATGCGCTCACCAGAAAGACAGAGACAGAGAGACAGAAAGCAAGAAATCACCCCCCGGGGGGATGGCACGCCACAATCCTTTCTCCTCCATTCTCCTCTCGGGATCTTGTTCACACATTCACACACGCCCAGCATGAGTTTAAGTCACCAGGTCTGGGACTTGAACTGTGGGCGACTACATGGTAGTCCAGCGACATAGCCATTACGTTAACTGCTGGTCCCGACAAGGTTAGTGAATTTCTACTCCATGTAAAACCTTTCCTTCCCCTTTCTTTTCTCTAAGCACTGCCAACACCAAAGGTTTTGAAAACAACTCTCTAACAAGCAAGGGCTTCTTATACAATAAAGAATGGTCTACAAGTCACCAGCTCAGTCCATATTTATACATGGTTGAGGATAATCAGGGGTGTATTTAGTGGGCAAAAACTTGGAACTTAAAGGTGGGAGGATTTATTTTATTTATTTACTTATTTATTTTTATTGAGAGAGATTTTCGGTCTAGGTGCATGCACTCACCAGAGAAACAGAAAGACAGAAAGTGAGAAATCATACCCCTGGTCCTCTGCAGGAGGGGATGACCATGCCGCAATCCCTTCTCCTCCATTCTCGTTTGCATGCACACATTCCACATTCCTGGAGTGGGTTTTAAGGCGCTGGGTCTGGGACTCGAACCACAGTCTACTACATAAGAGTCCAGTGATGTAACCATTACACCATATGCTGGTCCCTAAAGGTAGGAGTATTTAAAAGCCTATGAAAAGATGCTTAGTCTTTAGAGTTAGCCAAATCTATCATTAATAAATCATCAGTATTGTTAGCAGCTATTTCAGAGAATTGAGATTAACCTCTGCCCAAGTGAGAAGCAGTTATGTAATCTTCCTTGGCCTCTTGAACTGCAATTTAGGATTTCTCAACCTTGGCATGACTGACATTTGGGGGTTAATATATTTGTGTTGTTGGGAGCTGTTCTGTGTGTTGTAGGATCCCTGGCATTTACAAATTACATTATTTTGAGTCCGGAAAGTCATGATGTGTTTTTGCATAGAAAAACGTGTTTTTGCATAGAAAAACATCGTGACTTTGCTGGTGATCTAATAGTAGCCCCTCCTCAGTCAAGACAATCAGAAATGTCTCCAACCCTTAAAGAGCAAAATTTACCCTACCAACTGTCATTTGTATGATGGCTGCAGAGATGGCATATTTTATTAATAAATCCTCTCTCCTGTATAACTGGTTAAACGTATGCTAATAGAT